ATATAGGCTCTATGTGCATTTAGTAAGTGTGAGTGTGTGGGTGAGAGAGAGAAAGTGTGAAAAAGAGAGAGAGGAAGTGGGAGAGAGTGCTCAACATAGATGGTGTAAACAAATAGTGGCAGTGGCTTAGAGACCGCTATACTTGTTTAAATTACACTGGGGTGAAACACGCCAGACCAGACACCTTCTCTTCATGGACAAAGGGAAGGTCTTTTAGCAGGTTGACCAAAAGTGACTCTACACATTTAAAGGCTATGATAATAGGTATAAAGGTACTTCATGTAACACTTACAGAAACAGCTGCTGAGCCTAGATTTAGTATGGGAACTTTAGTGACCTTCTGGCTGACACTTCACATACTTTACATAAAAAATTGGCTGTCAGGTGCATCCTACATCACAAAAGGGTTAATAGATGGTAAAATGTCTGTAAACATGTCAATTTTTGCTTTTATTGTATTAGACAAGACAGCCTCATAAGAAGGATAATATACAATCGGACAACATCAAACCTATTAACATCAAACAAATTTATTCTTAAGAATTTTTTTATTTATTAATTTATTTAATTTATTCTTAAAAAAAGATGTTCTGAAGAAAATATTTGAGAACATTTCAAGAACTGCACCTAGGAATATTCTTACGAACTTCTCACAATTTTTTTTTAACCCATGGCCTGGTCTTGTTTTAGGAAAATCCAATTCTGTCTGGCTCCATTCTGATATCCAACCCCTACTTTCCACGTTCTAATCACGGTGGATAAAATCAAGTCCCGACCCCCACCCTGCATTTTTTTCTCATTGAATATCCTGTTTCACTTGGAAATGTTACAGTAGTAAAAGTGAAAAAAGATCAGCAAATCATGTTGACTTTAAATTGCAAAAAAGACAAATAATCTAATTTGCACCACATATTTGTTAAAATAATCAAAATAGATATATATATTTAAATCAAACTTGAATTGTTTACCCTGAAGCTGTGCGATTACAAGTTATTTTGGAATCTGCAATTAGATTGGGCTTGAAAACAAAAAGCACTCATTAGGAGATCAGTGAATTCATTCTGTGTTGTGCTTTAGAGTGAGGGAGATGAATGACAGGCGGAGGTATCAGAGACTCTGATAAGCTCCCTTCTGCTCTCAAACTGTAAGGGAATGGAGCCGATGACTCCACTTTAATGGCTCACTATGGGTTTAATACTCATTGAGAGGTTAAAACCGCATGCTGTAGCGGTCATAAAGGGCTTTCTTAAAAAGAAACCACATTACAAGAAAGAAATGCATCTGAATGTCAATATAATTAAAAATACCCACTGTTCAACAATAATTTAAAAGACATCATACACCTGCCTCCTTTGCACAGGGCTAAAACTACAGTCATTGTCACTGACATCCACACATGACCTCTGACATGTCCGCCTGCGTGGAACAACTTCTGACCAGTCAAATACAATTATATAGTTTATTATAGAATAGGGACCATTCAGGACTCTCAGCCAAAGAGAAGTGGGCTAATAACTAACTTTGAATAAACAAATGTCAAAGTTAGCATGGTGGAGCACTTGCTCTACATCTCTTACTAAATACTCTGCTCTTTTAGTTGGCAACACAACAAGCAACAATGAATAAAACATTTAATAACGTGCTGTATTAGAGCATCCCAAGGCATTTTACGATTTCAACCAAGTTATTGCCATATACAACGCATCTGTAAATGTCAAACGGCTCTCTCCCATCAAGCAAACTTGATTTGTTGCAAGAATGCAGCATGGGAATTTAATCCAATTGTGAGAGATGAAAATCAATCTTGGCTGATGCTGAAATGATATGGTCTATTGGAAGGGTCACCTAATAGGAAAATATCTCAACTCAGCTTGTTCAGAATTAGAGACTGTCACTGACTCCAGGTGAGCGCATGGCAGGTGGGCCATTTGTGTGAGCAAATTACGTTGCAGTCATTAACTGTTTCTCTGAGGTAATTTATCAACATGCTTCTTGCTTAGCTTAAGATTTTGTAAAACAAAAACTGAATGCAAAACAAAAAAAGTGCATCTCATAATTGTGGGTGACTTACATGAAGGCATGGTAGATAAATGCCCATCCTCTGGGTCTCTCGAGCACGTTGTACAGGCAATTCTGCAACTTTCTGTAGCTTTTGCTGGAGGCAGAAGGGGTCGCCCTCGGGCCCGGTGGCACTGGCAGAGGTGTGCCCAGTAAGCCGGTGCGGTGAGATGGTTGTCCGCGCTCTGGGGTCGAAGGCTCGCTTCTTTCAGTGTGAACAGCTGTGAGAGCCACAAACTCAACCCGCCTGTCATCATTGGGTGCAGGGGGGCCCAGCATCCGAATGCCTCCGTTATTTGAAGGGCTACCCAACATTTTTGTGTTTACACATGCAAACTAGTGCACCATATACAGCAGAGATTGACTGATATTGTTTATTTTTTCCTAATGACCGATAACAATTATTTGTATTTGTTTAAGTGTCCTACAGCTGATACGCACAACTGTTTTTTTTATTTCTGATTTCTAACACAATGATATCAAAATAATTATCAACTACAATAAAAACACAATAGTATTATTAATAATATAATTAATATTGATGCATTATTAATAATAATTCATACAGTGATTTTGTATTATTATTAATAATAATACATGTCCTTAACCAGTTTGTTGCAAAGATCACCATTAAAATTATAATTCAAATCTAATCTTGACAAACTAAATCTATTGACACTTCACTTAAGAATGAATATCTGTTACATACAAAGTTAAATAATTTATGTAAATAACCATAAAAATTAATGCTAATTTTAGAGAACTACTAGAATTGATCGGTGGACTCGATGTTAATCAACCGATAACTGATTAATTAGAAAAGTGTGAATACTGGTTAAAAAAAAAAGATCTCTAATATACAGTAAAACTTACTCTATCAAGTCACTTCCCAAAAACAATTTGTTTTAATTAGCAAAATAATAAAATAACGTATTAGGTCATTTAACTCAATTACTAATTAAACATTTAATACCTTTAAAAGACAAAATGCTCATTCTAACAACCTAAGTGAATAAACGTGGCTTACTCAGGTGAAACAGTTGAAAAGCCTCACAGATCGCGTCCACATGTTATTACTGTTCATTTAAGGTCACTATAATCACATCCGTTAAAGCCCTGGCTCTACATTGATATGAATATTTCAGCTCAATTTTCATCTTAAATCGTAACTGGACGATGAGCACTTCATGGTGAGACACTAACATGCGAATTAATAACTCAAAAGTTTTGGAATACATCCAACGGCACAAAAAAGCCCAACGCATCCCATAACTCGAGATTTCCTGACAAATACTGTCTACGCACACAGAAGAAATGTTTAGAAGTAAACGACATGCCCCGTTTTCCCCCTCCGGAGCGCGACACTCATTCCGATTCTTTGGGGAGGAGCGGAGCCGGTTCGTGAGAGATGAATTCAAAGTCGTGCCCGAGGTTCGGTCATTTCAAGACTGCCCCAAAAGTCCGTGACATATTGTAGAGTCCGAGAAGCTCAGCGGTGTGGACGGAGAGTGTGTAACTGGCACGTGCTGCGCGCAGCGCGATGTTGATGAAAGTGAGAGCAGGATAGACGCGAGGAGAGAGAGGGATGGCTGGCACCGCCGCTAAAAATTTAGATGAAAGGATTATGTTTTCTGTTTTCCCTCAGGACCAAGTCACATCTTTCCCGAGCTTTCTATTGAGATGTTCGGCACAAAGTGACGAATGTAAATGTTATGCCGGGGTTTGGTTCAGAGCCATGCTTCAGCAACAATAATACGCATGACCCGTGCAAACGTTTCCTCAGTGAGTCAACTGTCAAAACAGAGATGCTTTCTAAACAGCGTGCGTATTATGGGGGTTTGGGGTTGGTCTGGCTTCTCTAATAAAGACTTGAACCTTCCAAAAGAAAGTAAAACAAAAAGTTAGGGTCTTAAAACTTCATACAATTTTGCATACATTTTAAATAACATTTACTTACCAAAAAGTTAGTAGCAAGTTGGTTGAGATATCGACCAAACACGACAAAGTGATAAATTAATAACTACTTTTCCTACAATATTATAGATTTATAAGTGACGTGACTTGTAGTCAAGCATGGTGTCCCATACTCAGAATTTGTGTTCTGTATTTAACCCATCCAAGTGCACACAGGGGCGTAGATTACGCGGGGGACGCGGGGGACATGTCCCCCCCACTTTTAATATCATGTAAATTCTTCCCCCGCACTTTTTCGGGCAAGTGTGTTCGCATAGAGGTTTTCAAGAGCCGGTGTGAATAAATATAGATTTAAATTCAAAGAGACAGGATAGTCTGTGCATGATCTGAAATGATGGCTACGCCCCTGCATACAGCAGTGAGTAGTGAACACACACCCAGAGGGGGTTCGGTGCCTTGCTCAAGGGTCTCACCTCAGTCATGGTATTGAAGGTGGAAGAGAGCACTGTCCATTCACTCCCTCCACCAACAATCCCTGCCGGTACCAAGACTCAAACCCACGACCTTGGGTTATATAACCATTAAACTCTATAACCATTAGGCCACGACTGCCCTATTGTAAAATGAATATATAACCAAAACGAAAGTGCATTTGTTTAAAAGGTCAAACACACACACACACACTGTGCATCATCACACTGTGCAAACATCAAACATTTATCCAACTACATGCTGGATCAATGTACTTCCGTGTAAAAATGCACTCAGTCATATTGAGAGAATCAATCAAAAGGCCATCTTGTTGATGTCAAGGCCAAGATTAACCCTCTTGAACAGGTGCTGGGGATGTGTTGCACAGTATTCTAAGCTCTGGACACGTGTCTCAGTAAATGCCAATATTGTCTGCATGTGTCATCTAACCATAAGGACAATAGTAAAATAGGAATAGTGATAGTCTCTCATCACTCTCTTATATTGCAGTAAACTATGCTTATAAAAGTTTAAGAATTAATGCCTAAGTTATGTGGTGCAGATGGTTGATAATAGAGCGGAGAAGAGGAACATCAACAATCAATACCTTGCATTTAGTTTATGTGATTTTATGCAGACCGTCTTAATGGCTTCACTGCTGCTATATGCACTGCTTTAGAGCAACCATGGAATGCATTAGTCCTCTGCCTCTTAAGCCCTGCATGCACTCTTGTGCAACTTTGTAACATTCTTTCACAGTAAACCCCTTGTTTTTTTTCTTTTAGAAAGTTTAAAAAGTATAAACGTTTACAAAGATACTTAGGGCTCAGAGATTTCTAAAAATGTTAGGTGTTACTTTCCACATAGGATTAAATTTTAAAATCAGATGAAGCTAGTCTTGACACACTTATCCATACAGCATTCCTGCAGCTCAGACAGTAGAACATAGCACTAGCAATGCAAAAGTCATGGGTTCCATTCCCGTGGAATGCATGAACTGATATTATGTACACCTTGAATGCAATGTAATTTGCCAAATGTAAACATAATTATATCTTGAACACTTTAAATAACAAGTAAATAAATAATAGCAATTAAAATGTAATCAATATATATCTCTATATATATATCTCTATATATATATATATATATATATATATAAACAATAAGTGCAGATATGTTCATCCTTGATCATTTTAAGGCCCTTGTTTGTTAATTATTTTCATGTCATATGGGTTAACATAAAACATGGAGTTTCTATATGGTTTTCTTGGAATATGTGACAGGTTCTTGAAGAAACCAATAAGGACAATTGCATGTGACATGACAAGACCAAGCTTGTTTTACTTAATCACATATTTTCAAAAAAATTCTAATCTGTTTAGTCCTTATGTAAGTGACCCATAGCAACCTCATAGGATTATCTTTAGGGGTGTAAATCGGATGGTTCATCGTTATACGATATGATATAGATTCTCATACCCAGCGATACAATATTTGACGATACCTCAAAAAATTCAACAAAACAATTTAGATATGATTTGATTCTGGAGTATATCGAACGATTTATCGATATTATGATATTATGTACCTATTTTAAACAACAATCTACATTTTTATTAACTCACTGTTACGGGGCTGACGAGACGTGAGGATCCATGTGCAAGTTTTATTTAAAGCAGAGAGGTCAGAAACACAGGCAGGGTCGAACAATGGCAAACAGGTATATGGCGGACAAGACACAAGAATAATCCTAGGGCTAGCGAAGGTCAGCGAATGGCGAACAGAATCAAAAGGGCGAGACTAAAGGGATAAATCCAGGAAAACAGGCAAAGATCAGAAACCGAGAAAACAGACAAGGCAAGGCAAGACAAGACTAGGCTAAACAAGGAAACATGGGCAGGATAACAGAAACTAGGAATAATAACCGGCAGTAGCTATCACTGCTGGCGATAAGCGCATACAATACTCGGCAGTTAGAAAGGAGTGAGATTGAGTGTTAAATAGTGAGTGAGTGATATGAAACAGCTGTGTGCAATCAGTGCTGTGTGCAATCAGTGTAATGAATGATGGGATATGTAGTCCGGGGTGATATGCAACAGTGTGTAGTGCGAGAGTCAATGAAATGGAAAGGGTGACCTCTGATGGCTAGCAGACGGAAGTTCATGGACCGGATACGTAACACTCACAAATGCAATCAAAATATAAGCCTATAACATGATAATTTATCTGAAATTTCCACATCCTGTACCTCAAATGGGACAATCACAACAAAAAAATAGACCAACACTTTTTTTTTTTTTTAATAAGTCACACATGAGATCAGTAATCTTATGACATGACCAACAGTCAAGAAAGTTTTTAAGGCTTCTGTGCTTAAATGTGCAATGTGTTAAATAGTGTAAATCCTCATTAGGAAACAACAAAAATGAGGTACTCCAGTTGCAGAAAAATAAATGTGAAAAATTACAAAAATAAAGCTGTTAAAACTTATTTTTATTTGAGACCTTTTTTTGGCTGCTACTATGGACTCAGTGCTAAGAATATTTTCTACAGATAACCAAATTACAAGCAATAGCAGAAAATAAATACAATAGAAAGACACAAATTAAATAAACAGTGCATTTCAGGTTTTTCATGTAGGTCTAAAAGAAGTTTTTAGGTACAGACATTTAATAATTACATATACTGCATAGTCTTCACTGTATAAATTAAATATAGATAAATCCTTATTAAAGTTACAAAAGTTGTTCAGCCAAGAGCAGTGAGAGATTGTTTTTTTCTTTGACAGCAGCAGGTTTATCGTTAGTCTGCTTTCACTTTCGAACCGCTTTTTTTCGACCGAAAGCACAGATGCAATATACTGATACACATGCGTTTTCTTTCTCAGCTGTTTACTAGGATATTCGTCAAAACGTGCATTTTGATGTAATTTTGTCTGTATTTGTTCATCCAAGCACAAAAAAGCGGAAGAGAACTTAATTCAGTATTCGCACGTTGTCT